GAGATGTAACTCGAGAGATTACTTCATAATAACAGCATGAACAGCTATTGCTTAAAAATAAAAATGGTTATTTTAGTGAGACAGTGGCACCATAAGTTGAGAATATCTGAGTATCCCACTTTACCTAACAACCAGGCAGGCTCCTGGCTCCCAGCCCGCCACAGACGTGTGCCCCGGGCATCTGGCAAATGCCTGGATAATAGGGTTTACGAGGAGGTGAAGTCTAAAGGGGCACTGCCCTCCCAGCGTGGTTTTGGACACCTGCAATAGTTGGCACCGAGGAAACGATAGCCCAAGACATCCAGCCACATGCGGTCTTTGCGGTCAGTTTAACCTATGAGATCTGGACAAGGGAAATGGGTCTATGAAAGACCGATGGGCCACAGGGAGAGCACACAAGCAATGTGGCTGGCTTTCCTGCCAAGTGAGAGCAGGAGGACGCAGAACGCCCTCCATGCCGGCTGGGAGATTGGGAAACAGAAACACTCCTCGCTGCAGCTGGCAATGGCAATTTTTAAAGAACAGTCCTGTCCGGAAATGATTTAACACAAGGTCAAATCTAAACCTACTGGGAAGCATCAGACTTGTTTATAGTGGTTATCATTTTTATAGAGGAATTGCTGATTTTAGTTCTTGAAAATTTTGCTTTGGCTTGTCTTCTTGCAAGCGTGCATTTTTGATACGAACAATAACTGTGTTACAGGAATATCTTAGATGAACAGCTTATTTCCTAAAAAATAAGCTTCTTCTCAGAAGAGTATTTCTTACAAACAGCATATAGTATTCTTTAGTCTGCTCAGGAATTCTCTTATCAAGTTTGATCATTTCAGCTTTTTTTTTTTAATAAAAGATTTTGGGACATCAGTTCTTCAAACTGAGAACTGCATTTGAACGTGATTTTTGTGCTGAATGTGTTGATAGGGATCATACCATCAGTTTGGGTGCATTTCTGGGCTTAGTTGCTCTTGAGGTCTATCTAATCCTTGCCCTGTCTGTGACCATCCAGCCAATCTGGGAGGAAAGCAATAACAAACACCACAGCAGACCAATATAAAATAATATTCCCATCTCCCTCATCAGATTTTACTTATCCTGCATTTTGTATTTACCAAAACACTTAATCTCCAAAGCCCAAGAATTTGCCATCTTTCCCGAAATGCATGATTTCTATCTGCTCTGAGTGATCAATGTCCCAGTTCCTGCAGCAGGGAACTGTTACACCCGGGAAGATCTGAGATAAGCCTTGCCAAGGAAACTGCCGAAGCAGCAAAGCAGCCTGAATTCAGAAGACACTCAGGGTTGCTTGTCACTAACTGCTGCGCTGCTGGGACAGAGCCAGCAAGCTTGCAAAGCCCTGACTTTCTCCCCCTGCCTTGTCAGCTCCACCGATCAGCAGGACAAGCGTT